ACAGAACCAGTAAAGCCCTCCCTATGCAAATTGATGGTGAGCCATGGATGCAAAGCCCTTGCACTGTAAGTATGACATGCACATTTAATTTTGTTATTTACTTAAAAGTCCTTGATATTACGTGTGTTAATCTTTTGATGAATGTTTAAGAGTTTGATATTCTCACTTTTCATTTAATTCTAAACTGGCTTTAGTTGGTCAGTCTTAGATATCATGTGTAAAAACCACAGCAGCATTTTACAAGAAAGCTGAAAATATGCAAGATTCGAAGCTTTGTTTGCTTTTAATTCAAGTTTCTCTTCTCTGAAAGCATCTTTTCTGAAGTGCAGTGTTCATTTACATATACTTCATTTTGCCGATGCCTGGAATCCAAAAAGCATGACAACACAATTAATTGGAAGGAGCACTTGTACCTGTAGATTAAAACTCTGGTTAAAGGTAGACAGGTAGCAGGTGATCTCCATGGCAACCTATGGCTTCGTTGAGGCTTAATTAGTGTCAGTAAACGTAAGGAATGCTTTTGAGGCACTACAGTCAATATTCAGGTGTTCCAGCTTATCCTCAGCAAAAGTGATTGTGCTAAACCATTTTTAGGTGGTGCTGCATTGTATCTGTTTGCTTGTGATGGTTTATGTGTAAATCAGTTACATTACATGATTCTTCATTATATATTCCTGGCAATCAGTGTGGAAATAAATGTAAAACGGCCTGAAAAAAAAAACTTATTTACCAAATAATATAACAAAATACAGTATTTTTCAAAATTAAGATTTTAGGAAATTAAAATGTTCTTTTCTTTCGTTTTTGTTTCTTTTTTTTTATTTTGTATTGTATTATTTAGCTATAAAGATTTATATAATTCCACAGAGAAACATCAAGTTTATTATTCATAAAAATAAGCTAAAATCCCCACCTCATGGCACCTAATTTTATCTCCCAAATTGTTCCAGAGAGACACTAAAAAGGGCACGATTCCAATAAATTTGCATTATATATGAACACTCTCGATTTCACCCCATGTTAAAAATGTCATGTTGACTCTTCCTCTTAATTAAACTTAAATGCTCCAAAGGTTTTCGTTTTGAGGCGTTCAGTACCATTTACCTTCTTATTGCCATTACTGTGTCTGAATACTTTCATGAACAAGGCAAATGGGTGAATTCAAAGAGAAGAGCTTGATATTTACCATCACCTTTGATGTGGAATTATAATTGACCCACAAATAAGGAATTCAGCACCCAATTAAATGTGACAGGGACAGAATTAATAAACAAGATTTTAATGACACTTACATTTCACATTCACTGGCTGTTTTTTAACATGTTCATGTCTTGGAGAGACTCTTGGGCAAGTTATGTGCCTTTATTTGTGTATTATGCCAGTTCATTTCATATTTATCTGTCATATCTTTTCTCATCTGGTTGTCTTTATGAATTTATATCATACAATGTTAACATTTTCACATCGCATTTGTTTTCACTCTTTCCGACAGATTACAATTGTTCATGAGAATCAGGCCCGTATGCTGATGGGTCCTCCTCAAAGCTCTGGCTTCTTCTCCTTCTTTCGACGTGACCGCAGAGGGAGCAAAGACTGACAACCCACGACACCTGAGATCAACACTACACCTGCTGGAGAGTTCATGTGAATGGTGAAAACCATATGAGACATCTAGATTTCAGCTGATCACTTCAGCCACCAGTTTACTGGCTCAGCTATTTGATTAAACTGCCATTATACAGTACAAACCAAGTACAGGGAGGAAAAGGCCAGTGTTGGCCCAGTTTTTTGTTTACACATTTTTTAAAAGATACTATTGTGAAAATACTGAAATTGGAATCGTAGAGATTTAGGGATAATAGGCACTGCAAATACACTTCAAATCTGAAGTGGAATTTGAGTCTTATATGTGGATTCAGATGGACTCATGAACTGGAACCATTTTATTTTGGGTATGTTATTTAGGAAGTGCCAGCAGTTCTGGATTACTTGGTGTGAAATGTGAAATAAGGCAGGGCCAAAAAAAAAAACTTTAAAAAAAAGTACTTTTAAAGTGTAATGGTGTAATGTGTTAGTCTAGTGGTACATTTGTACAGTATTTTTCCTACAATAATCATGCAACTTTGTTTTTTATATATATATATATATATATATATATATATATATATATATATATATATATACTTGTTTTGAAAGTTGCATTTTAAAAAAATCACGGCTCAAAAAATCTGGACGGATAAAATGATTTAATTGCTAAACACTAAATGTGGTCAAGTCACTTGAAGAAGGATCAATTAACTACAGTGAAAAGAATAATTTCCAGAAGCATGAACATGTGGACAAGCAATCTTAATATTACAAACTGAGAAAGCATAAATGGAGGTTTTATGTTATTGTTAGACAATCCTCGTCCGGAGTCAGTAATCGATGCGCAGTGTTTGGGCTTTTTAATGTGAATGCCTGTCTGTGTTCTGTTTTAAGCCAAAGCTGCTTGGTTTTTGACTAAGAATCAGATTGAAAGACTGAATTTTGTTGTATTTAGTCTTTACAAGGCATGGTTGTCATGGTCACAAGGTGCTTTGCTCATGCATATTCATGTGTTGTGATGCACTTCTGCTAGAGCTAAAGCAAATGTGCGACTGCACCTTTGATTTTCTTGCGATAGCAGCATGCAATGATGTGAGATACTATTACACATCCTGATAACTGAACTCTTAAGTTTCTTGTTGGGCCTGGTTAAGTTTTACTCAGCAACACCAAAGCTCCAAAAGTATCAAAAATGTAATTTAAAAGAGCTGTCGCATAGCGTGTGTGACGTTTCGAGCACGCAGGCTCTTCATCAAACATCTTCATCTTCATGCTCGAAACGTCACACGCTATGCAACAGTTCTTTTAAAATAAATTTTGATACTTTTGGAGCTTTGGTGTTGCCCAACTTTACATTTAAAAACATGTTTACACTGGTTTCTTAGTCGAGCACCCAATTGAGATTGACGTGCGTGCTTTTGCCTGCTCTTTGTAAGTTTTATTCAGCCCCATATAGCCTGCACTTCATAATAAGTGTTTTGTTTAGTGAACTGACAATGAACTTGACTGATATATTTGCACGTTGGATCAAGATATGACATATTACATTTTTAGCAGATAAAACGAATGTCACAATCCATAGACTATTTATACCAAGGATCTTCACAGACCCTTTCGGTGGATAAAGAGATTTTTATATTGTATAAAAGTGAGTGCTGCATTTTAAGCCTGGCCTGTTATAACATGCGTATATGATGCTTAATTTAATTATATTGAAGCCATTCAAATAATCATTAATAATGTGCTGTGTCAAATACTTGTGCATTTTAATTTTACTTAATTTTTTTTCCCACTTAACTTTGTATGAGATCAAACTGTTTAAGATCCCCGATTTATATTAGAGAAAAATCTAAAAATATAACTTACAAATTTTGACCAACTGACTCTTTTATAAAAGTTTTGAAACCAGTAATAGCAAAATGTTTACAGAAAACAAACATTTTATATAATGCCAGATGTTGCCATGGTAATTTGTCTGTTCCTAACTCTAACAAACACACCTACTTTCACCTTTTGAACCTGTCAGCTTGCTGCAACCCTCACCTCTTGACCTGACAACAAATGGATCCCTATGGTTGTAACCTTTTAATGTTAAGCTGTCAAACGAACATCTATACCTGTCCTGCATTCATTGTTTATACATTGCATCAAGAATGACTTAAAATGTCAGTTTAGGTTTCCATCAGTTCTCCATAATGGAAGTTCCTCTGTTTATGTGCTGGTTTACCTGATCCTGCAAAAGTGACGTTAGATGTTTCTTAATGATGTGATTAGAGCTTTGAGACGAGGAAACACTGGACCGACACTTTTAGCATGTATTAAATATGGTGCATATAAATGAATATAATGAACTTCATCTCAAAGGTCAGATAAGGTGTGAAAACACGTATATAACTATAGGTGTTATGGAGGGAAAAAAAGATCCTCCTCACTTGACCCCTGCAAACCCTACATAGTTAGCACAAATCACAACTAATTTTATTAATTGCTACTAATTTCAGAAGCCATTACAAATACAGTAAATGAGAACACATTGAATTAAATGTGAAATGTTGAAGCAGGGAAACTGAAATATTATTTTCTTGTAAAGGTTCTCCTGTATTTTTATTTACTTATTTACTGATAATATAATTTATTATTATTATTATTTCAA